AAATGTAAAATTTTTTTTTTTTTTTTTTTTTAAATGCACGCCTGTTTCCCTTTTGTGCATATGGTTTGGGTGGGGGGGTGGAGGTGCTGTTTGCACATGTAAATCTTCTTGCAGACTGCCAGGGTCCCACCCCCCTAATAGCAGGAGAATCCAGGATTCTATTGCCAGCAGCTTTTACCTCCAGATCTCCTTCTCGAAAGCTCTGTGACGCTACCGCCTATTTGAGGGTTTACATTGTGAGTTCTGAAGACTTTCTTTTTATTTCATTGTATTTGAATATGAGATTTAGGAACTTTTCATTTTCGGTGTGAGATCAATATTTGCTGCTGATTACAGAACTGTATGCTTGGGTTTTCTCTCTTGTACTCTGGCGCCACCTTCAGGGCGATTTTAGGAATAGCAGCAGGTGGCTTGTACTGGGCTTTTCTGACTTCAGTAGATTGTACTGACCTACAAGTATACAGTTCAATCACATGAGCTGAACTGTTTTTGTCACTTTCTGCTTTTCACATCTCCTAAACTTTTATTTTTCTCTATACTAATTTGCATTTCCATCTTAGACCCTCCTGTGAGAACAATGCAATCTTCTTTTCTCTTTTAAACAGTTCTGGTGAGCAATTAACAGGTCAGGAAATCGGTAGGGGGTATGCAGGGTACAATACTACATATTATGCATTAGCATTTAAACAAAGGAAGGTCAGAAGTGGCTTTTTATAATCCCAGCATTGGACTAGTTGATGGCTCTGAGTGCTTTGCAGTAAAGCTTACAGAAAGTCTTTGTACTTTTTGTCCAGTTTTACGTCTTATTTATATACAAACTATTTGTAAAATGGAAGCTCCTCCCTAAAATGTACCAACAGGACAATGACTACGAGAAGGGAGAGATTAACAATTGGATGCTGTTTGTAATATGTTTTTTTTTATTTAACATATCTGGCCAGTTTTATGTCACTGCCTCCATCGGTCTCATATGTAAATGTTTATAAACCAAACTTTTCACAGCTGGAGCTTTGAGATCTGCTGATAAAGCCACTTTGTGAACAGATGGCACATCGGCAGTGTGAAAAGGCCAATTAGGATGTGTGTTTGTGTAGTACCATGCTAATGCACATTAAACTTCATGAAATGGCAAGAATGTCGTATTTCTGTAAGGGTGATTCCAGTATTATCTAGACAGGTCTTTGAGCAGGTTTGTTTTGGATATGGGGTGTGCATGTGCAGACATGAAAAATGTAAGTACCCTAGATTTGGGTTCCACAGAGGTGTAGAGTGATGGGCAAAGAAGTTGTGTGTTTTTGTTTTTTTTTGTTTTTATTGGGTTTTTTTTGGGTAGGGGAAAAAGGCCTTGTTTTGTTGTTGGGGAAAGGACCCAGCGGTTTGATGTGGGGGAATGGACCCCGTTTTGTATTGACACAGGGTAGGAAAAAGCACTATGTACTTTGATGTTGGGGAAGCATCACTTGTATTGATATTGGGTAGGGCCCCCCTCCCCCACGTGTATTGATATTCGGTAGGGGGAAGGACCTAGTGAATTGATCATGGGTAAGGGAAGGCCCCTCCCATGTATTGATATTCCATAGGGGAAAGACCTTGTGTATTGATAGCGTGTAGGGAGAAAAGTCCTTGTTTGATATGGGTTAGGGGGTAGGACCCCTGAGTATTGACATTGGGTAGGGGAAATACTTTGTTTTGATATGGGGTAGGGCAAGGACCCCTGAGTATTGACATTGGGTAGGGGAAGGACCCCCATGTTGACCAACAAGCTTTTCTTTTCAGGTATTTAAAAAAAAAAAAAAGCTTCCGGGGAAACCAAATGTTTCTTTTAGCTGTCCTCATACTCCACTGTGTGGCTGTGACAGGCTTGCTGCTGTAACCTTTGCCTCCTCCTGCCTACTGTGGGTGGTAAGCTGATGTCAAGCTTACAATTAGGGCTCCTGCAATTGACCTTGGCAGCAGGGTTTGTGTCTTAAACACAGTATTAGTGTGAAGGGTAGTTTGTGACTGCTTGTTTATGGTCCCTGAACTTGCTGGCTGTGATGACTCTTAAAGGATTCCCTTTTTTTATTAAAGCTTTCCCTTTTTATAAGGTTAGTCAGTACACATTTTCTTTTTCCACAATTTACTTGAAGTTGACGGCCATATAGAGAATCTTTTCTTTCTGCATAATCTGTCCTCATAGGATATAGAGGAATTTGACTACACTGTATTTTACATTTTATACAGTTGATAAATACAACTTTATTTTTTATTTTTTCAAGAGCCACAGCAAACAATCCTTTACTACTATAGATTTGTGCATTAGATGCTCATTGTCCTCCTGTTATTACAGCCTCGGAATGGCTTAAATGCAGTAAACACATTAACATAAATAACAATAGCACTAGATTTTTTTTTTTCTTTACCTCCCAAAATCCATTTGGTGGTGATTTTAATCTAAACCCCTGCTGACTTCACTGCATTCTTCCAACTTATTGGATAACTAGATGCTGAGAGATAACATTCCACAAATTCAGGGGTGGAGAGATGGAAAAAAAAACAGTTGAACTTTCTGGTTCTCTGCTTAGGCTATAGTTTTCATTCTGCTGTGTAGCCAAACGTTACTGCTCAGTCAAACAAAAGCAATGAATGACATGCATTTATTTTTACACTCAAGTTGTAAAACTTGATTTGAATGTGTTGTTTCATTTATGTTTGTCTTTGTAGAATACATTGTTTATAGAGCAACATTATCTACAAAGGAAAAATAAAATCTAATATACAAAATGTATAAACATTTTGGTAAATGTGTTTTGAACTCAAATTTTTAATATTTGGCAACTGAGCAGCAGCTACAGAAAACACTGAATTATAAACTTGAGAAATGTATAGGTCTTGTGAAGTGAGTTATTTAGAATTTTAGACTTTTTTTTTTTTTTCCCCCCCTTCTTTTCAATGGCAAAATACATCAAGATGAGATGATGATGCACTTGGTGCACTTTCCTGGCATTTGTTTAAAAACTGGTTGGCTTTTCTTTTGCTACGTCTCTCTTTTCCACTTGTTGTGGTTCCATCTGACCCAATATGTCAGCGCATATAGTCTCCAAATATTTTGTGATATGCTTGTTTGCAAATACACAAACCGGTTGGAGTGACTCGGGCATTAAACCTTAAGATACATTGTTAATGTATTTTATTTGTGTATCATTCGGCTGTAGATCCTCCAATCATCTCTGAATTGGTGCTGACACTGTCCTTCCTTCTGGAGGGGGGCTATTTGTGTTCCCCATGGTCCCTGAGTGTGTTGTAAAGTAGTCACCGCTCCAAGCTCACTCCCGGGATGGACTACAATCCCAATGTAAACTAAACATGAGATTGTAGTTCATCATGTAAGCAAGCTTGGAGTGGTGGCTACTTTACTACATTTGCTAAGTTGTATACCAGATGTTTAAAGTCATTGCATGTAAGCATTTTTTTTTTCTGCTTTTGCTTCATCCTTTTTCTCTTCTCTTGCAGCTGAGCAACAAGATTCCAGTGATGTAGATGGTGAAAAAAGCGTCAAGCGATGCAGGATGGAAGAAACTCATGTCTGTGACAAGTGCTGTGCCGAGTTTTTTGAACAATCCGAGTTAATTGAGCATAAGAAATATTGCACTAAAAATCCAACTGTCCTGATCATGAACGAGGGTGAAGGACAACAAGCATCTGAGGTCTACCCAGAGTCTATCTCTAAGAGCACTGAACAGGAGCTAGCTGAAAAAAAAGTGGCAAAGGACATTCTAGCAAAGGGTTCTGCTGTTACTGCTGAAAGGATGGCGGGGGAATTCAACTCTGGCAATAAAAAAATCTCCCAAGCCACTCCTAAGACTAATGGATTTGGCTTCTTGCCTAAAACAAATGTCTCCAACACTAATGTGACTTTACAAACTATCAATACTACTAAAGCGGCTGTTAATCAACATGCATCAGGTGGAACTAGTGCTCCAGCAAACAATGCCAACGCCATTCCAATGATCCTTGAACAACTAGTGTGCTTACAGCAGCAGCAGCTTCAACAGATTCAGCTTACTGAGCAGATCCGCATTCAGATCGCTATGATGGCTCCGAATTCCCTGCATCCTTCTATAGCTGCTGCCACAGATCCACTGAAGGCACTGGGTGCCCATTTATCGCAGCAGCTCTCTGCAGCTGTTGCTCTGATTGGACAAAAAGCTGGAACTCACAACCTTACTCTTGAGGCTCTTAAGCAGTCAAAGCTACCTCACGTCACCCTGTCCATTCCAACTTCTGGCACTGTGCCACTTAACTTTTCCAATCCGATGCTAAAATCTGAGCTCAATAGGGTTCTTCCTGCTTCTGTGGCCAGGTTTCCAAACCCTGTCCTACCTCATAGTCCTGGGACTGTAATCTTCCAGAATCCACTTAATGTCGTTGACCCTACTAAGAAACTGAAAAGCAAGTTTCCAGGTGTTCTTACACCAGAAATTAAACCAAATGGCGAGGACCAATTCTTTAGACATAAGTGTAAGTTCTGTGGCAAAGTTTTCGGCAACGACAGCGCACTGCAAATACATTTACGTTCGCATACCGGTGAAAGGCCTTACAAGTGCAACATCTGTGGAAACAGATTTACAACAAAAGGTAACTTGAAGGTTCACTTCCAGAGACACAGAGATAAATATCCACATATACGGATGAATCCCTATCCTGTACCAGAACATCTGGATAATGTTCCTACTACAAGTGGAATTCCGTATGGCATGTCTGTTCCATTGGATGAGTCTAATGTACTTGTGGATATAAAGCCTGTGCTGACTAGTCTTCCCGATCCAGGACTAACTATACCAAATGTTGCCAGGATAGGTGATGCGTCAGGATCAGCCTTCCCACTCAACCTGCAGTCCAAGCTGTCGCCGGGTAGTGAAGGAGAGTCTGTGTCATCTGGAGCTGTTGGTCAGGAGTCTGGCACTGATCAAAGTCTAAACTCTCCTCCGGCTAGTGGATCCAGTGAGCAAGGCTCAGAGACGAGCAAACTACAGCAACTGGTAGAAAACATTGACAAGACTGGTTCAGATCCCAATAAGTGTTTGATTTGTCATAGAGTACTAAGTTGTCCTAGCTCTCTGAAAATGCACTACCGCACCCACACTGGGGAACGACCTTTCAAGTGCAAAATCTGTGGACGAGCGTTCTCCACTAAAAGCAATCTTAAAACTCACTATGGCGTACATCGCGCAAACACGCCTCAGAAAATGCATTCTTGTCCTATCTGTCAAAAGAAATTCACCAATGCAGTGGTCCTGCAGCAACATATCAGGATGCATATGGGTGGACAGATTCCAAATACACCTTTACCGGAAGATGCATGTGAAGATGGAGACCTTGATTCTTTAGTGATTGATGAGAAGAATGGAGACCTGAACAGCTTCACTGATGAGAATGTGGATGACATCGACATGGAGGAAGATCCTGAACTTGCAGATGTTCCTTCAGGTTCTAAACCCACCACCCCACAGAGTGATGGTCGAGTGGCATCCCCAAGCATACAGCTCACTGAGCTTTCATCTCAGGACAATCAGATGTCTATGCCTCCTGGACTCTGCTTGCAAAGGCAAAACAGTATTAAATCAAGTGAGAATGGGTCAATGGAAAGTGATGGCTTGACTAATGATTCCTGTTCCATTGAGGATCAAGAATATCAAAATGGCAAAAGTCCATCTCAATCTCAACTAAGGACTCTTTCACCAACCAACAGCCAAGATGACAGTCTTCCGTCAAAGTCTCCACCTTCTTTCAATGGTCTCGATGTAATGGGTGTGCCGAATAATGCAGAGTCAGGCGAAAATGGCTCAGTTGACCCTGATGTTGACGGGGCTCTAGATCTAACAAACGGCAACCTAGGACGCAAAATCAAGGAAGAACCGGGCTTGATTCCCAATGGAGACTTGAGTAAGTAAGACTGTATGGGTTTGTCCTGCTTTCACAATTATATGCTTACATTCTCATTAAGATGTGTTACTGAAGAACTTTATACTTGTTCCAAAGGTAGAAGGCTGCTGCAGTAAGCAGAAAATGCTTCAATATGTAGAGCAAACACTTGAAGGCCCTAGCGCAGTGCTGTTCGGTCAAAATGACTTGTACTATGCAAGGCAACATTTTATATGGCATGGATATTGTAGCCCACTGAATATGCCTGAAATATATTTATAATAAAATAAAACTATATAATAGAATATATATATATTTTTTTTTCCTTTTTTGTCCCCAGGCAGGAGTCCAAATGTCTATGTTGGTCCTCCACCGACACTGATCAAAGTGGAAATGCCAGGAGATCGTCTTTTGGGCACCACACATTTCATCAGGCCACCCAATCTTTCACCCGGCTTAACACCTCTCATTGTCCCTCCTCGGCGCACAGCAAAGCAACATATCTGCCTAACGTGTAGCAAGAACTTTTCTTCGGCTAGCGCTTTGCAGATCCACGAAAGAACTCACACTGGGGAAAAACCTTTTGCTTGCACGATATGTGGAAGAGCTTTTACAACAAAAGGAAACCTTAAAGTAAGCTTTAATCCACTTCTGTCTCCCTGTCCATTTTGTGTTTTGAAAAGGTACACAGATTCAGTCTCTGTAGTACAAGTTTAACAGCATTGGTTAGCATAATGATCACTCTCTAATGACAATAAGGCCTAATAGTTGGGAACACGCACAGGTGCACATTCCTAGATCTCTACTATAATGTTAAAATTCTCATGCTACTGGGTATTGAAGATTCTAAAAAGATTGCCGTGCCTGTTCTAAAAACTCAAACCACGTAATAGCAGTGTCTGCTTGCATGGTTTTTAATTGCATATTTTTTTTTCTAAGAAATGGTCACTGTGATCATATAAAATTTGGAAGTAGTTGTTCTTGCAAGAGGACTTGTCATTTTGCCCAAATGCATGCTAATTCTGCCACAGTATTACCCTAGTATTGCCCTTTATATTGCTGTGGACATCATCAAGTGTAAGACCTTGCTTTATATTGCACACTGTGGGTTTATAGATGGTACTGGTGATGGTGGACAAGTCAGTGTTTTGTTTTTTTGAAACAGCCTTTTGCTTTTGAGAATAAAACTACATTTTTATTTCCTCTCTGTAGGTTCATGTTGGAACGCACATGTGGAATAATTCTGCTCGTCGAGGAAGGAGACTCTCTGTGGATAACCAAATACCTGCCTTGCCAAATGACATTAAGAAAGTGCCTGAGATCTTTCCAAAGTATCTTATTTCTCCTGCGGTCATTGATCCTGCTGTTTGGAACCAGTACGCTACTGCCCTTAGCAGTGGCTTGGCCATGAAGACTAATGAGATCTCGGTAATCCAGAGTGGTGGCATTCCTTCATTGCCGGTCAGTAATGGGGGTCCTTCCATCACCACAGCTACCGTCTCTAACCTCGATGTCAACCAGGCTAGTGCGACTCAGATTATGGCCGAAAGGGAAGACAAAGGTGTGAATAGCATGCCAAAACACCAGTTTACACACTTCTTAGAGGAAAACATATCCGTGAAATGACCTATCTAATGGCAGCCGACATGTGCAAGCGGACACTTGAAAACTGGGTGGCTGGAATTTGCTGCACCTTTTATTTTTTTTGGTACTTTTTCTGTGGGTTTCTTTTTCAAAAGTGGCCATAAGTACAACCCATATTGCCGCCTGGCACCAAACCAGATGAAATGCTCCTCCCAGAGATGTTGCAAATAACGCAAGGCTGATGTGTGGATGGCGTTTCATTCCAAAGGACACAAAAATTTTTTTTTATCTTTCTGCAAACCAATTCAATCAATCTTTGCATTATGAACTTTAAAATGCGCGAACCGTTGTCCTGTCCTGAGTATTCAGCAGGAGTTGAGTTAAGAAAAAAAAAAAAATAGTATTTAACAGGAGTTGAATTAAAAAAAAAAAAAAAAAAAAAAAAAATGCGGGTACATATTTTTGGAATCTGCCATCCTTTTAATTTAGAAGTAGATTTCAAAAGTCTTGAATAAGACTTGAACTGGAAAAAAACGTGTGTGTGCATTGCAGATATGCCGTTTGGTGACTGCAGACCTCCTGGCTGTGACTGCACGTTGACTCTTAATGTGGTAGCTGTCTGGGAAGAGTTGTGGGACTTGGAACACTTTTTTTTTTTTGTTTTTTTTTTGTTACAACAGTTAGAGCAGTTGTGACAATTGCTCCTCCAATCAGCTTTAAATGTTCTCTTTACAGTGAGCAGTATTATGTTTAGTCTACTTTTACAGGTGACCAGTAGTTGTTGTGTTTTACGGTTGCTGTAAAAAGTTGTTAAACTTTAAGTTATCTACCTCATTATTTTATTTCCTCCCTCTTGTTTTTTTAATTCTGCTGTAAAACTAACTGGTACTGGAAACACTCCAAGCACTGAAACTAGTTTCAATGTTAGTCGGGTTACAAATCTTCCTCTTCAAACTACTGTGTGGGGGAATTCCTATTTGTATTTAATATTTTCCCATAGAAAATGTTTAATCTTTTTGGAAGAGGTGACATCAACTGTAACTTCTTTCTTTGCTTTCAGAAAGGCCAAAAAAAAAAAAAATTACCTGCGCAGAGTACCAAAAAACGTCTAATTGCACCTAGCTTTTCACTTAAAATCATTGCCATTTTGTGCCTTTCTCAATGGACTAGTAACACTTTGAACATGATAGTTCCTGTTTACATTGTAAAGTTTAATGTTGCAAAAGGCATTCCAGTGCCAAGGTTCTGCAATGTGAATGTATGCCTTCTTAGGAATGCTTAGTGTTTTTCAGCATCTACTGAATGTATTACTAATTTTTTTTTTTTTTTGTCCTTGAAAATAAATTTTGGGATGGTTTTCCTCCTGGCACTGTCTTAACTGTTAATGGTGACTTATTAGTGTAATAAGTCTTTGTTTGTATTTTGCTGTACGGCATGTGATGTCCTCAATGACAACGCGACTAAAAACTGTTGACTTATTTTATTTGTAATTTTTTTTTTCCTTCATTTATTTCAGCATGACCTACCAACAGTAATGGCACTTGCACTGCCAGAAACATTCATGTATTAGCATTGTTTTAAGCAATGGCAATTGAAATCAGAGGGCTGTCAAAGACATAGGGCAGGGGTAGGCAAACCCTGGCCCTCCAGCTGTGACAAAGCTACAAATCCCATCATGCATATGCCTCTGGGAGTCATGCCTGCAGAGTCTTGCAATGTCTAATGGGATTTGTAGTTTCATAGTAGCTGGAGGGCCAGAGTTTGCCTAGCCCTGGCTACACCTACACTACACTGTTCTCTATAGTAATGAGGCATTTTTAGCGTGCATATTTAATGGTCAAATATACTCTTAAGACAGCAAAAAGAGTATGCGCCTATAGCTGGGATAGGCAACCTCGGCACTCTGCTTTGGTGCGCTACAAATCCCTGTCATGTCTGTGGCGGTCAGTCTTGCAGTGCCTCATGAGACTTGTAGTTTCACAACAGCTGGAGTGCCAAGTTTGCCTCCCCCTGGGCTTTAATGTGAATTGAGCCTGAATTGAGCCTAAAATGGGTATCAGATCTATTGCCCTGGGAATGAATTATGATCAGCCATTTGCCTTACTTGATTTGTACCACGTGTAAACAACCAAATGTAATTTCAACTATTTTGCATCTATGTGATTTAGTGCAATCTCCTGATAACTTGCCAAGGGACCCTTAATCCTGTTTAGCCAGTCTTTGATGCACAGACAATACCCTTATTTCAGCTTTTATGTGATTTGTCTCCTCCTCGTATGCTCAACATAAAAAAACATTTCTTTTGAGGCTCCTTCAGTACTACATGGGAATACTATACCAAATGTTTTTAGTTACTCTCAATAGTAAACTGTATATTAATGCAAGCCTGGAATTGCTACATAGAGAGCAGCTATTGTGCAATGTAAAGCTAGAGAAAACCTGGTGCAAGGAGTTGGGGTTTTAATATGCACCATTCTTTCTGCTTAATAAGATAAGTGCAGCAGACTTGCAGCTGTGTACATTTTTTTTTTTTATGCATATGCCCATTATAAAATACACTAGACATTCTATTACAGTACTAAACATCCACCCTGAAGTGCACTACAATGCACAGGCTATGCTGGTTTTTTTTTATATGGCAATATAAGAAAGGACTTAAACTGGCAGTGGACGGGTGCATTACAGGAGGTGGAAATCTCTGCTTCTTGTATCTGCCTCTGGAACTAAAAGATGACTAGAACAAGTTGTCCTTTTTTAAGGGGTGTAGACTGCCTGGTGCAATACTTGCCTCAGTCACCATTCCAGAATTTTTCAATGTCTGTGGCTACATATCATTTGCCTCCCCAGAAAATGCAGCATATGCAGTGCAGCCTGGGTGACAACCATGGCTGCCTCCACAGATACATGGAGGGGGAAAAATAGTCAGATACAAAGTGTTTGCAGAATCACGTGTGTGTCTATCTCTGCATACTTTAATCCTCTTGATGCCAAAAAATTAAAGCTAATGTGGGATCTGAACCTGCTATGTTTGTTGACAAGGCTCCCCTAGACCCTTCTCGCTAACCAATAGCTGTGATCAGTTGCTGATTGCACTGCAGTCATTGATTAAAAAGATCTGACACCCCCACACCTGCTCTGCACGGTCTCCTATGTGTTAAACTTACTGAATGAACAATGTAATGGAGGGGTCAATGCTGAGTACTGCTTTGTTCATTTATAACTGATGAGATTGTAAACATGAAAGGAATATGTTTATTATCTCTTAAATGTGGGTGGAATAGGAAATGCTCTGTACTCAGCACTTCATGTTCAGCGTTAGGGCCAGAGTCGTGTTCAGTTCCTTAACCGAGGCTCTGAGTATCTATTCTGCAGTGCTTTCAGTTCACTGCACAGGTCTAACCAAAATGGCGGAGGATTCAGTGTTTAAATTCTGCCATTAGTGCAACTTCTACTGTTTAACAGGTGAAATGTGAGAGCCGTGGCATATTTGATGTGGCTATGACTTAATGGATGTTTCAATATTTGAGGCAGAGATGGAAACAAATATTCATATAGTTGCAACAATTCGGTTACCACTGTTGCAATAAAGAGTATTTTGAACAAAATGCGCTTTATTCATACAGTTTTCCATTCACACTCGTCCACAAAACATGAAATTGTAGGTTATCACACGGAATTGCGATTTTGCTCCATCGGCACTATTACTATTTTACACTCCGCAGGCACATTTACTGCCGCTGCAAGTGCTAAGGTAGCAGTGCTGAGTAGCAGCACAGCGTTTCATTGTTGATTTGCTAACGTGGGTGAGCGAGTCTCTGGACTACAGAGGAGAAAGAGATTCAGGGCTCGGGGGCACCCTGAGCCCCCCACAGTGATAAAATAAAAAATGTCATGCATTGTCAATAGCTTCTCCACGCACCTTGCTAAGGCCTATGTGTTAGAGCTCACCCCCCGGAGGAATTGGCCAATTTGTCCTTTGCTATATATCCAAGATGGAGGCTCTCATAGATTTGAGTCAGGACCACACTATATGTGTGTGTTGTTAAAGCACACCACCATACTTGAAAATTAGCATGGGTTGTGGTGCGCTGCATTTTTAAAAAGGGTACATGCAACTTTTTGGTGCGATTTCTGTGTGTGTTGGGCAGCGCATTCAGAGACTGGGCTGTTTTAATGCAATGCCTGTTAACTCACATCAATGCATGTGCATTACTGTAGTGCACAGATGTGAAATTAAACTTAATCCCCACACACACACACACACACACTACACACATGCACTACACATATTTTTGTAATGCAATTTTGTATTGGTATGCTGCAGTGCACCAACAAACTAAAGGCCTGTTCACACCAGCGGGCCCGAGTTCTGGTGCACATAATGCATGCTGGTCTATGCAGTAGTGTGTTCATACCATGCATCACAGTGCTTGATTTTTTTTTTTTTCTTCTATTTTTAAAAGGTTTTCAAAATTATGTTGATTCAACTTTCTGCATTCATAAAAACTGGAGCAGTCAGAATCTGGAGCAGTTGTCCATAATAACCAATCTCCTTGTCCATAATAACCAATCTCCTTCTCTTTTCATTTTGTCGATTGGTTGCCATGGGCGACTGCTCCAGATTCGGTCTGCTTCAGTTTGAATGAATTCCCGACAATGTGTTGTAACATGCTGCATCCTTGTATAAACATGTGCACCAATGTAACATGCACACACAGGACCCGGGATCGGCATTACCACAATGCAGAGGAGTAAAGCTGACGGCTTAAATTTTTCCTTTTTGCACAATTTAAAATGTACAAAAGTTTATTAAAGTGACATTAAACCCTCAGATTGTACTGTAATCCATGGTTGTTTCCCTTCTCTTTGCTGCTCTTCCTTTTAAATCCTTCTGTCTTCTCATGCTGGGGGAGAACTTCCCTTTGCAGCTGAGTGCCTCTTCCTGTAGTGCTGGCTCAGGTTGTGAACCTGCACACAGACACCATGTATCCATTTCAGAGACAAGGCAGTCTGCTGCAAAACAGAAGTTCTCCCCAGCATGAGAAGACATGAGGATTTAAAAGGAAGAGCAGCAAAGAGAAGGGAAACTACCATGGATTACAGTAAGGCGCACATTACAGAATTGTTTTATGTTAAAAAATCTGAGGGTTTAATGTCACTTTAACTCCGTGCAATGTTCTCTTTTAGTTAGAATTTTGTAAGTCATGTTGTATTTGTGTGTTTAATAATGATTTTAGTGTAATTTTTATAGAATGTAT